TGGTTTGGTCTTTGTTTTTAAATGATCTGCGGTCGTCCATCATTGATAATATTTCGTCATTCATCCAATTTTTCTTTTTGTACTTTTGGGAAGCGATCAGAGACTTGGTGGTGGTTACGATAGCTTTTTTTTACAATTCCATTTATCTTCTATACTGGCCGGTTGTTTAGATCTTGTGGTGATATCCGCTATTGCCTTATTTAATCTTTATGTGACTTTTAGTTTAACGTTAGGTTGTTTTAAGCTCTTTATATCAATTTTCTTTATGAATTTTCTTGTAATTTTCTTAGGCTTAATTTTCAATTTTCCTACTACGGGATTGTAATCAGATCCGATATCTGTTCCAGGGCACGTTTTTACTCCTTGCAATCCATTTCTATATATCTGATTAATCAATACAAACTCAATTTGATTTCTTACGATGTTGTTATGCGTATGTTGTGGAGACTACCAAGTGTAGAGGTGGCCGTTTGTACCAGGTATTTGCAATGACTAATTTTTCTTCTTGACAGAACTGGATTAGCATATCACTTCTCTCGTTTCGATCTCCCAAACTAATCTCACCCACGACATCTTCAACACGTCCTCGCCCTACCTTCGCATTGAAATCTCCCATGATTATAAGAGTCTGGTTCTTCTTGATCAGTTTCATTAACTTATTAATCTCTTTGTACAATTGTTTTACTTCATTTTCAGGCTTGTCCAAGGTTGGTGCACATATTTGTATAATGTTAAGGTCAACAGGATCGGCTTGGACTTGTAGTAGTGCTGCCCTATTTGAGTATGCCACGAAATTCCTTACTGATTTGTTTGAGGCTGTGTTAACTAAAAATCCAACTTCGGTATAATGATAAGGTAGGTTATTTCCTGAGTAATATAGTATCTCTTTTTCTTTCGTACATTAACCACTGTTAGGCCATCTGATTTCGCTAAGTCCTATGATGTCTACGTCGCATCGTTCCATTTCTTATATTACGTTGTCTAGTTTACCGGCGGTATAAAGACTTTTAACGTTTCAAGTGCCCGGTTTTAGCTTTGGGGTTTTTTCCACTTTTGGGTGGTTCATAGCATTGTTTTTTTCGCAGAGGTTATTAGCACCCCTTTGTCACTTAAGGCCTGCCACAGGCCACAGTTGCCTCCGCCATTCTCGTCGTACCGAAGGTATCCTTCTCCGCCGTGATTGCCGTTGTGGTCTTCATCCGTAATCCTGGACAAGTGACCCTAAACAGGTACTAGTTCCCCGGGTCAGGGACCTCCTGAAACCTGTGGAGGGCACGGACTGATTTATTTTTCCTTATATGGCTGTCCAGGGAAATCCAAGGAATTTCTACCCACTACCCCACTACCCACTATTTTAATATACTCAGTGACATTAGAAGTGTTACACCCAGAGGGAATAATTTCTTGAACTTAATTTTTTGGCAACAAAACGACTATATTTAAAACATGCTATGGTAATACCAATGTTTTTTTTTTCTAGTTTTTGTAACAATAAAGTTTACCTTTAAATTTTTTTTGTGAAGAGACCGATTTTTGAAAACTGGTTCGTATAGAAATTTTTAGTTATTATTTCTGCGTCTAATTCTATTCAATGTAAGAAAATGCCTCGAGCTCGAAGATATCAAAATTACCACCATGTTAGCGAATTTGACCGTGATAGAATTATTGCGTATAGATATATGGATTTGTCGTACCGCGAAATTGGTCGTCGTGTTAATTGTACGGTAATGATGGTTGTGCGTGTGTGTTGTGTGGCAAATGAAGGTAGAGGAACAAGAAGAAGACTAACTGGTCAACCGAGGCGTACCACACAGCGTCAAGATAGGTGTTTTAGATAACTGGCTCTGCGAGACCGTTTGACTAGGTAGGCCTGTTCCGTACACTATACCGTCGAATTTGAGCCTTTGGACGCCCACGACTAGTGCTTTCTTTAACTGCGGATCATTGTCATCAACGTTTAAATTGGTGCAGAGAACGGCAGCATTTGATAACACGATGGCGTAATGTAGCATTCAGCGATGAATCACGATTCTGTTTAGGAATGCATGATGTTCGGAGGATGGTAAGACACCGCCGCGATGAGCAACGCAATATCGGGTTTGTTGTTGAGAGGCATGTACTTAGGACAGTTGGAATAATGATTTGGGGGCTATTGCCTATGGTAGCCAATCACCACTTATGTTTATTCAAGGTAATGTGACAGCTACGCGTTATGCTGATGACATCTTACAAACCACTTTACTGCCTTATATCGACGGCCGTCGATACGTCCTTTTTCAGCAAGACAGCGCGCATCCCCATATTGCTCGTCAAACTATGGACATTCGTCAAGAAGCTGGCGTTAATGTTTTGTTGTGGCCGCCCCATGCTCCGAATTTAAATCTTATCAAAAATGTATGGGATATGATGGGAAGGAGACTGTCCACTTTGCACCATACTCCACAGACTCTGGCACAGTAAATACATGAAGTTCAAGTTGCTTGAAATGAGGTGCCATAAGCAAACATCGATTATCTCATTTTGTCAATGCCTAGACGTATACAGTATTAATAATTTTTTCTTAATGACTTGTTAATTAAAATTCTTGACAACGTTATCATTTCATTCTAGATGTAAATCTACCATATTGCCAGACAATTAAGTTCAAGAAAATATTCCTTCTGGTGTAACACTTCTAATGTCACTGAGTATAATTAGCAAACAATAAATTACAAAAACAAAATAAATAAAACAAAGTAAATTAAAAAACTAAGTAAGTAATTGTAATGTTCTTATTAATTGTAACGAAAGTAGTAAAAAAGTATCGTTTCATTCTAGATGTAAATCTACCATATTGCCAGACAATTAAGTTCAAGAAATTATTCCTTCTGGTGTAACACTTCTAATGTCACCGAGTTGTAATAAGCAAACAATAAATTACAAAAACAAAATAAATAAAACAAAGTAAATTAAAAAACTTAGTAAGTAATGGTAATGTTCTTATTAATTGTAACGAAAGTAGTAAAAAAGTAAAATACTATTCATTAGAATTTTAAAAACAATAAATGAACAAATGTTTTTTAAAAATGTTCAATAAAATCTATGGCTTTTCACAAAAAGGTTTAGTTCTAAATCTATTTCTTCGTCAAAAATTCCCAACAAGAACTTCAGCTACCTCCAGAACTTTCTGAAAACCATTGTTTTTGGAATTATTGTTTCAAATTTAAAAAAAATATCTTCTCCAGTGTCACCTTTAACATTTTGAAAAGCTGCTCTAATTTCTTTAATTAAGGGTATGCTTTCTACCAAGGACAACTTTGATTATTCTAATTAATAAATTAATTGTAAAATAGTTTTTTACAATTTGATTTATGAATGAAAGTTGCTGCTGAAGAACGTTGTTTTTAAAAATTTGTTTAGGATCTAGCAGAGATTGGGAACTTTCATCTGTTAAAGCGTCAGTTATATTTTTTTAATCTACAAAATAATCTGAATAGAAAAAGTATTTCTGTATACAGTTGATTTCTTATAGGAGATTTAATTGAGGAATACTTTTTTATGGTTGCTATCAGGTAGTTATGAAAAAGAAAACAAAAGAAACCTTTTTTCTAATTTCCTCCGTAACTCTGTTCATTTCAGGTGCTAAAGAAGTAACGTGTATTAAGTTGGTATAAAATATTTTTAAAACTTTGTGTTGCCTTGACCATATATCTGCGTCGGATAAAAAAGCAATAATTTACGGCTAGGAAGAGCTACAGGAAGAAAAAAAAAATATATAAAAAAATTGATATTTCTTCTTGTGCAAAACATGATATTGTTGGAGAGTTGGTTTTTTCTAGAGTCCTCCTTCGGAGTTTCTAAAGAGTTCCTCTTTAAAGTACTTTCACTTGGAATATTCCGTATACATTTTTTTTTCTTAAAAGAAGTTAAGTTTTCATTGGATAATTTTGAAAGCATTAGATTTGAAGTGAATAATGCATGGCGCACGTCTAAAACCTCACATATGTCATTCGTGTCCTTCTTTCGAAGTTGACTGAAAATACTTAGAAACCTAAGCTTGATATTGAAGCCTTCTTCAGATTTAGTTTTTTGTTCTTAAGCCAAAAGTGACGCAGTTCTGACATGTTGATCTATCTGAAAAGTTGGAACCGATTTAGGTATTAGGTAGATAATACAAAAATAATGACCTGCAACAGTTGCCAAAATATTGGCACCAGGAGTAGAGAAAATTTTTTATTTGCGGAAAACTTTTTCCCATTTTTGGCAATTTGACATAGTAGGGCATTCATACACAAAGTTTTGAATCGGTATATAGATTAATTTTTTTAATGCCGTACACAACCCTTAATTTGATCCCCCATGCCTTGAGTAGCGAGTACCGGTCAGGATTGTCGGAAAGTTTCTAAAGTTGTTATTACATATTGTAGTATTGATTTATATGTGATTTATGTTGGGTGAAATGACTCCCTAAAAATTTAATTGGGCAGTCTATAACTTCAGGAATAAATATTGAAATAGCAGGTCTTGATACATCAAAGTATTGTGCCAGATTTCGACAAATATTTTCAGTAACTTTATCTGAAGTAAATCTGAAATAAGATTGTATTAGCGTATCTTCCAAAACGTTATACTCAAATATCGTTGATATTCTTCTGGCTTGAAAATTATTTCGTGCCAATAATCAGTTTAAGTAGCTTTTACGAGTTACTGACGTCGTTTACCTGAACATTATTAGTAAAGTTTTATATAAGTTTGTAGTCGGTATTTTCTAAAGAATATGAATTTAGTTTTGTTGGTTCCATCTATATGTTGGGTCAGGGACTATTGTAGAATTATTACTTATGTACTTTTTTTGGAAACCGTCTGTTATATACTGACCATAATATAACCAGTTGGCATGTTGTACATCAGAACGTAATTTGTTATTAAATATAAGAGATCTGAGGATATGACGTTTAATAAAATAAAACGATAATAAACGTAATAGTATTTTCTAATTATCCGTCAACCTTCTGTTACAGATATCCTATAACAAATCACCTGACGAATCAAACAAAGGTGATACAGATAAAAAAAATAAATTAAAGCCGGACAAAAATGCTTATCAAACTCTGGTAAACAAAAATGATAAAGAAAATAAAACGAAGTATCAGTATTTGACCAAACCAAATTCAAATTCAGACGATTATATTGCTTCGAAAATCCTGTTAGAAAGTGGTATGTATCCCTTTAATGTTATAGTTTTCTATCTATTCATAAAGGCTGGATACTTTATATATTAGCCTTCGTAAGTGGGTATATTTATTTCAATAAATAAATTAAATAAATATACCCACTTACGAAGACTAACCTCTTTCTTGTGATACGTGGTATACAGCCAGCTACAGTTTTCCTTGTGGATTTTACTATATATACATATAAGGATATATATATATATATATATATATAAATATATATATATATATATATATATATATATATATATATATATATATATAAATATATATACATATATATATATAAATATATATATATAATATATATATATATATATATATATATATATATATATATATATATATATATATATATATATATATATATATTATATATATATATTATTATATATATATATATATATATATATATATATTATATATATATATTATATATTATATATATATATATTATATATATATATATTATATATTATATATATATATATATATATATATATATATATATATATATATATATATTATTTAGCTTTAATTTTTACCCATACCGGCACACTCCTCAATATTTATTATAATTTTTGCGACCTCGTTTCTTTTGAGGGAAAACATGCAGAAAATGTATGGGATATTAAGTCTAAAGTAACTAATAATATCTAAAAAAACGGTAAATCTGGTAACGTTTCGAACATCAAGTTTCAAATCTACATATTGTAAAATAGGTTTTGTTTTACTCGGACCATCCATTATTATGTCGCGTCTGTATGGTTTGTATTCTTTAGGTTTTTGTTCTAAATCATTAAAATTCAAAAATTCAAAAATTATTTGAACTTGAATATCAAATAATTTTGATATTAAAAAAATTATTTGTTTCCTGTTTTATATAATTTTAAGGTTCTAAATGTGACAAAAAGCAACGAAAACGAGGAAAATATTAGAGAAAGAGTGGCCAATAGAAGTATATGAAAAGTTAATCATTTGCAAAAATGGAATATTGAAGGAACCAGACGATATGGCCATCTTGATCAGAGATACAGTAACTGATGCGGGAGTGAAGGGTAATTTAGGGCAAAGAGCTCCCAGAATTGTTCGCAGAAAAAGATTAAAATGAAGAAATTAGGATAATGTCCCAATAATAAATACCAAAATTAGATGAATCATGGAAGAAGATATGGTCGTAGAGTTAGGGGAAGTCAAACAGTTTGTGGCATTAAAAGCATAGAACATAAGGGACTGTTAAAGGTTTCAAGGAAAATATCACGAAGGTCTAGCTCACAGTGTAAGTTTTAGTAAAGATAGTAAAGATTAGTGAAGATAAGAAGTTAATAAAATACTATAGACATCAAACACATGGTTATATAGCTAAAATTGCAAAAGATAATCCAGAGAAGGCTGCTAAAAGTCCGGGCATGGAGGGTCATGAGTAATCCTAGTGCAAGAGCAATGCTGTAAGCTGCTTTAATTGTAGCAAGAAAGGTCATAGATTAACAACAATTGTTGTCCAAATCTATGCGAGGCTACTGAGTAAGTTAAGATAGAGATAAGCCTGAAAGAACTCGTGTGTGTTAAGTGTGCCACAAACAAATATAGGGGCGGCTGCGTTAACTCACGAAAATGACTAGAAAACTGAAGTTATATGGCATGTGCATAATAGATTTTGGTGATATGAGAAAACGTTTAAAAAATAAAAAAGAGAAAGGGTTATTATAATAAGGTAAGTTCAATAGGACAAGCTACGAGTGTCCGATGTTCCGTTTATACAAGAATCCTGGAAATACCTGGGTCACATAAAAGGTATATTGGGTGTTGGTGGAGATCTTAAATAAAGTAGGTTTGCCGAAGTCCCTAGAATTAGTATAATAGTCAATAAAAGTTGTCGGGATAGCATCATGAGTTTTTTCTTAGTTTTTCTAATGATTTACAATATACTAAAGAGGTAATTGTAATGTCACGATTGGGAGTGGTTGCCGCGTTAAAGACAAATCACATATATATATATTTTTTTCTGAAAGGTGTTCCTATGTTAAATTTAATTTCATATAATCAAATAAACTATCCTCAAAAAAAAAATATCGTTTCAGACACACAGCCCAAAAATATTGACAATATAATTTTATTCATCTATTTTAAAATCTATAATGTGCGAATTGGCAATATGAAAGAGGCAGATAAAATTAAATTATATTTTTTGGTTGTTTTACTGAAACAAAATAATTTTTTTAGTTTGTATTTTGAGAACAATTTAAGTGAAAAGCGAAATATCAAAATAAACGTAGTTTTAACTAAAATTATGGTTAATTTTAAGAATGTATTTTAACAATGTAACTTTTAAATGAAAATATATACCAATTGATAACATCATAAAATGACGTGATGGGGAAATCTCTTTTATGATTAAAAATAATGACTTTTAAATAGTGGTACTTAATAAGAGGGAAAAAAGTAAGTAATTTTTCACCCAGTTAGGACCATTCAACAAAAAGCCCTCTTGGAATATAGTCAAAGATTATAACACATCCTTATTTGTGGTCACAACATATTTAGTTGTTCACAAATTATTACAAATTTGCGATAATAATGTATTATTATTCTAATGCTCTCTATTTTCTCTATAATATATATTTTACTAAATCATATTATGTTAGTCAACCTATGTTAAGCTTTTATTTGTCCAGTCGCCGTCATTATCCAACCTTCTGCGTCCAAAGTTAAACGTAAGCAAACATTGTTTTTAAAAAATCCTTAAAAAAAAGGACCCCTTCGGGTACAGCTGGTATAATGGCACAAGGTATAATGAGTGAAGCCACTAAATATATGTATGGGCACAAACTTTTGAAATGTTATAAACTTTTGTTTTAATTAAATGTTAAAGTTTTAAACAGATTTACTTTATTGCATAATAATACTCCTGAGGTTGCTGGCCCTGAGACGTCTTTATCTCTAAATTCTCAAAATCTTCATCTTCTTGAATTTTACTTCCTTTTTGGTATGGTTACATTTTCTGCTTTCTGGTTTCGATACTACATTTAAATATCTTACAGTTTTCTACAGCCCATTCTCACCTTCATTTGTAAGTTTAAACTAGTTTGCAACCGAATCATCTGTATCTTTATAATAACGAAACTATTTTTGTTTTAGATTCAAAGGTAATACAAGCTGTCCAAAAGGCAGAAAACAATAAATTTGTAGTACCTATAAAAGGTAACGTTAACCTTAAAGAGTCGGTATGCACTTCGGAGAAGGTAACAAGGTTAAGAAGCACTGAAAAAAATAAAAATACTACTAAATTGGTCATAGAAAATGCAATGCAGCATGGTATTGCATTACCAACTAAACACTTTATAGATTTTAAAGATCAGATGGAATTTACAAAAAGAGAGTGTAGACTAGCTCAAGTTAAACCTTTTTCAACAAATGTGGCTTCCAATTCGCCACAAAAAAATGTTAATACGAAAAATTTCTATGGCATAAGATCCCGTAAACCAATAGAAATAAACAGTAAAAATTCTTCTGATTTAAAATATCATCAAATTCTCAAAGAAAATAAAAATTCTACTAGTATTGATAACACCCAAAAATTAAAGGAAAATGATTTTAAGCCTCTTAAAGAATATATCGATGTAAATAAGGATACAAGTTATCTTCTTGAAGATAACAAAGGAAAAGTAATATTTTTTAATAATTTTCAACGGGAAAAAAGGCATATGCAAGAAAATGATCTTATAAAAGACATTTCTTACGAAAATACCACTAGAAAAGATGATACTAAAACAAATCAGATATTTTACAAAAACGCTGACAAGACAAAAGTTCTAAATGATATTCTTAAAGAAGATGCAAAAGTAGATTACGTAAAACAACACATTAACACTGCAAAGAATGCAGAAAAAAAATCATTTAATGCTGTTAAACAAATAGGTGAAGAAATTGTTACAATTCCTAGGAAAAATAGAGCTATTAACAAGCCCATAGATGCAAGAAAACTAAATTTTCACGAAAGGCCGTTTTCTAGAGGCAAGCTAAGAGGAGAAGACTTGTCTAAGAACGAAAAACAAACTTGTACTAAATATAAGCAAAAGCCTAGCTCGTATATGGAACTCGCTTTGCTAAAAGACAGTTCAAATCGAGAAAAGCATATATACAATAATACTCATAACATTTTATGCCCAAACACAAATGCTGAACAAGATGAAAATACAATAAACACAAATAATGAAATAAATAAGATTTTGGCCTCCAAGGATTTTATTTTAGAAAACGGTAAAATGATATTTAAGATACCAAAATTTAGACCTAAATTAAGTACACCAGGCAATAAAGATTTATATACCGAAATACTAGATAATAGTGTACAAGCCTCAAACATTGTAAATTCTGCAGAAATATCTTTTGTGGGGAAACAACAACTACTAAAATCTGTAGTAAAAGAGAATATCTCTGAAAAGGTTTTACAAATACCTAAACCTAGTATTAAGATTAGTCTTCCTAATTTAGTTTCTAGTAATCATTGGTCTTTATTAAATAAACAGAAAAAACAAACTTTGGATAATCCAATTAAAATTAACGAGCTGGAAGCTAATAAGACATTAATATCTGACGGAGATGTTTGCCAAATTGGTGCTGTGACAGAAAATATAGCAAAAACAATTTCGATAAAGACAGACTCACAATCTACATCTGGTCAAAAAGATGATACCATCAAAAATATTTTACGTAAACCTAAAATTATAATCAAGTTTTCCCATTTTGGTGAAAAACGAAAGTTGGATGAACATCCAATAATGGTAAATAAATTAGATCCTCAGAAAAAGTTAAAATATAATACAGATATCTGTAATACTTTTAGCTCTAATAAAAATATTTCAAAAATACCATCAATGGAGAAAGAAATAAATCACGACAAACAAGATAATGAGACAAAAGTTTTTTCAGGAAAATTATCACCTATTACTAAAATGAAGCTGCCCAATTTACGTGAAAAATATAAGTTACACGTGGATCCTATTAAATCCTATATAGATCCTTGTCAAAGTATTATTCTAGAACGAAATAAAGTAGAAAGACCGTCGATACGAAAAGAACCACCTCCTTCAAATAAAAAGGAAGATAAGGATAAAAAGAATCCAAGAAAGCCCAAACCAGCTATCAGATTTCCTCCATCAAATCATCAAGAAAAACCAAAACTTTACGACGACCCAATAAAGTCAAAAGAACTCGGTACCAAACATGAATTAAAATTTGATACAGATCTTGGTCAAAGCGATACAGCTCAACAAAATAAAGCAGATAAAAACGTAATAAATAACGATTGTATACTAAGAGAAAGACTTAAGTCCGTTATTGCGTATGTGAAAGAACTTCAAAATAAAAATAAGAATAATAACTTAATAAAGCAAGAGGAGCAAATAGATAACTTAAATACAAAGTCGAGGAAATATTCAAGATTATCCCAGCAAGTTTTTGATAAATATAAAAACAGAAGTAATGAAAACTGTTTCATTGAAATGGAAGGATCTAAAAAAATCTCTGAGCAACTAAAAAAGGTTTTAAAATTAAATTCCAATGAACTAAGCGTCGAAAATATTAAGGTAAGATTTATTTGGTACTTTCTATTTCCAACTTGACCATCCATACAGTAGTTTATAATTTATTTTACTTCATCTCTCTTTTTCCACCAATATTAAAAAAGTGGCGGCTATTCTTTGTCAGTTTCTATTATTAGGCTAGTTTTTAGAGAATCACGCTTTTAGGCACTTAGTTGTTACATGTTATCTTGGTCTGTTCCTTCTTGGCTATAACTCACTTTTGTTTTTGCTTTTAGTTCTATAGGTACTTAATATAGATATTTAAGTGCCTATAGAAATGTTATATGCCACTTTTATAGAAGAAATATATTTATAACCTAATCTCTACCAGAATCTTGCAGAAACTAACTGCGGAGCAAGCTGGCTGTAGATCAAATTCTGGCTGTTGTGATAAGGTATTAGCACTAACCAACTATATTGAGCTTACTTTCATAATTGTCTGAAAACATCCCTAGTGTTAATAGTGCTCCCAGCAGCTTTTAATAAAGTGTGGAAAAAAGGTCTTATGTACAAGTTGTAAGAAATAATTTCTAGTTAAACAACAGCTCGACCAATAAAGCAGATGCTATAATAATATAACAGTAGATTCCATTGTTATTTTTAACAAAAAAGGTAAAGAAAGGCAACTGAACAATGAGTTTTTGCACGACTTAGTCCTTGTAACATTTCTTTTTACCATGTATCAATTTTTCTTCCATTCTATATTTTCGTCCACATTCGAGTTCTCCTCCATTTTGTTATGATGACGATATAACAATTGCCTCTACTCACAAATCTACAAAATCAATAGTACTATGATAAGCATATCTGCTGTCCTTGTATGATGAAATGATGGATTGATGTAACCATCCAATTGGTTTAGAAACAGCTTCACCTGATACCTAAAAAATAGTGCGCTAGTTTTTCCTTCTTACGATGTCTATTTGTTCCAGATGTTGATGATCAACATGGCTATCTTAACTTTGTTTGCAGATATTTGGAATAATATGACTGTATTAAACCACTTTCTGCGCTTTTGAAGCCAATTTAATATAATTTATAATATGTATAATACTTCTACAAACACATTCTAACCATTATCTGCGTATGATTTATTGATGATTTTTATTTCTAAATAAGTAAGTGTAAAAATGTACTTTTTCTCGTTTTTATTGTATCATTAAAAAACATAGGTGTTTAAAGGTTAGAAAGACTCTGCAAAACGTTTGAGAATGGTTTTATTGGGTGAACTGTAAAGATATATGTAAGAATTTAGTGCCAAAATATGAACTGTGTGCATCCAGTAATTTTACAGTTGACAGAAGGAGGGTACAAATTGAACAGTATGTTGGTAGTCCTATAAAACGAGTAGCAATCGACATTGCAGGTATATTTCCAGAGACGGATTATGAAAATAAATATATCCAGGTAAGCTATGGATTATATTACGAAATGGACTAAGGCCTATGCGATGCCAAATCAAGAAGCTGCTACCGTTGCAGATATACTGGTTAAACAATTCGTCAGCGGATTTGGTGTCCCCTTGGAGATCCACTTCGACCAAGGGCGATATTTCGATTTAACCATCTTCCAAAACGTTTGTAAAACCATTTATGTCAATAAGACCAGAGTAACACCTCTTCATCCTCAAACAGATGGAATGGTCGAAAGGATGAACCGAACGATGGGTCAACATCTGTCCAAAGTTGTATCCGAACATTAAAGAGTTTGGGTCCAGCACATTCATTATTTATTTATTCCTAATGGCCTACCGCTCGGACCTAAATAAAACTATAGAAAAGAACACTACGTGCCTGATGTTGGGTCGTGAAGTTCGTTTGCCATTCGTTTGTTTCTTCGTTTACCAAGCGAAGAATATGTCGACCTCCCTAAGTTAGGAATAAACAACATTTATGAACTTGCACGCTAATATATTCAGTTAGCCAGTGACCCTCAATAGGTAGTCTTAAGTACCTAGTCAAATATATTCATAATAGACGTATTTAAATTACTATATTGGTTTAAATATAATGTTTTTTCCATAGCTAATGTTAAAGTGTTGCTATAACAACTGTTTTGAGTAGATAAAGGATCACTTTAACCGCAAGGGTAGATAAAGTGACACTTTAACAGCAAGAGTAGATAAAATGTTTTAACTTTTTTTTATTCAATAACATTTACAAATTCAAACATATTAAGGATTAAAAACAACTGAAATTTTACAATTAACATTATTAGAAATATCTATTTTTGGAGCACCATAACTTGTACTCGTTTGCATAAACACTTGATTCGAGGTACTGGATTGATTTTCTGTAACATTTGTTTGACTTTTTTAGACAGAGTAATTCATATCCCTAGCAACGGAGCAACGCAATTGCGATTTTTGTGCCAAAAATCTTGACTGACGTCTCGACGCTTAAAAACGCTCTCGAAGATAAAGTACAATTTTATCGTCTTGTACAATAAATAACCATTGTACTTTTGACTATTCACCGGATAGATATAATAAACAATAACACTATTGCTCACATGATTTGTACTAACTTAGTTTATTATTAACACATTAACGATTGATCCTTATTCTAATACCGTCTTGGTATTTACATTTTTAGTTATGGAAACAACTGTGAGTTTTCAGTGTAACCAGTTCATGTTGGTTTATTGTCATTTCAATTATAAATAATTCGTATATTGACTTATTCTTAAACCATAAACCTTTATTTGCTTTTAATTTTTAAGTGTTTAAATCTTACTACATCTCCCCCTTTTAAAAGAAAAATTTATATTTGAGATTTAGAGATTCCCTTCACCCTTTATGGAGAAAAAAATTTAACTTACTTGTCTACACTTAAGTTTTACTTGTATGAATATGTGTGTATGAATATTAACAAGTTACTTTAGATGCTATTTACAATTTGCGTTATTTCAAAGATTTTAACTAATTTTTACGTTTGTTTTAATGATTGGTTTTTTACTTTCGTTTCTATATTTCTTCATTTTCTTTTATCTTTTAGTACTTTCGACTACAGTGTACTTTTAAACATAATTCATAATAATATATCTTCATTATTATTTATAAGATTCATTCATCTTTTATATCATACATAAATCTTCAATACCATTTATATATTTCATATTCATATATTACTTATGTATCTCTTTATTCATCTAATTTTATATTCATATATTACATATTATATCTTTATTCATTTAATATTTCGCACGTCTTAATCCTAAATTCTGCCTCGATCCATATGAACAAGCTTTAGCATGATATCATCATCATCAATCAGCCAATCGCGTCCATTGCTGGACATAGGCCTCCCTCAGTTCTTTTCAATGTTCTCTACACTGAGCCGCTTGTAGCCAGTTTCCCGCTACACGTTTTATATCATCAGCCCATCTAGTTGGTGGTCATCTTCGGCTTTTTTTTATAGTTTCTGAGCCTCCATTCCATAATACGTCTTGTCCACCGTCCATCTTGTGTTCTGGCTAAGTACCCTGCCCACTTAAGCGTCGTGGTTCTTTCGATGATATCTTGAACTCCTGATCTTTGCCTGATTTGTAGGTTTGTTATGTCGTCCCGAAGGCTCACGTTTAGAATTTCACGTTCCATGACTCGTTGTGTAACTCTGAGTTTATTCGAAGATTTTTGCGTGAGTGTTAAAGTCTCTTCTACATAAGTTCGTACAGGCAAAACACATTGGTAATAAACCTTTCGCTTGAGACACATGGGAATTTAACTTTTTAGAATATGGCTTAATTTGCCAAATGCTGCTCATGTCAGGCCTATTCGCCTCTGTATTTCATGTGTTTGATTGTCTCTGCTTATTTTGATCTCGTGTTCCAGATATTTGTACGTGTCTGTTTGTTGTATGGTATTATTGCCAATCGTCATATTTTCACTCATTACGAGATTTATCATAAGTTTAGTTTTCTCAAAGTTTATCTTTAATCCTGCTCTTTCAGACAGACTTTTAAGCGAATGACTCTAGAGCTGCCGTGAACAATTTTGGTGAAATATTGTCTCCTTGTCTAACTCCTCGACCAAAGCTGAATTTTTCTGTGTCTTTGTGTAGTCGTATACTTAATGTAGCGTTCTTGTAGATGTTTTTGATTAGTGTCGTGTACCTGTAATCTATTTGACTTTGATTTAGGGATTCCAGTACTGTTTTAAACTTTACACAATCAAAAGCCTTTTCATAATCGACAAATGCAAGAACCAGTGGTATGTTGTATTTGATGCACTTTTCCATTAAGATCTTTATGGAATGCAAATGGTCATGGTAAAGACTTTCCGTCTTTATCTCTCAGTTTGTATATTTCTTTTTTACTTTATGTGAGTTTTCTTTTCATTATCTTTAAACCTTTGTTCTCTTCTACTGTTTTCGTAATTACATTAGTATTTATATCTTCTTACATCTTTTCTAATTTCCGTTGAAATTATTTTATTTAGTTTTCTATATTCTTCTTTGTTTCTCTTTTCGTTCTTAGGTTTCGTCGTATTTTCATGAGAGCTTTTGTATCTTTGCTAATCTTTTCACTTTTGGTGTCATTTTTTTTGCAAAATTTGAGTTGTGCGTTTCTAACCGAGTCTGTTATTAATTTATTGTGATCGTCGATACTTAGAGGTTTGGGATTATTACTCTGTAAAGTTCTGGTTATATTTTTTATGTATGCTTCTGGCTGATTTGGCAAATTCCAAACTATGCATCTGCAACTGTTTATCATCTTTACTTTTTCTTTTTGTAGGTTTATCGTTACTCTAGCTCTTACTGGTCTGTGGTCGCTTCCTACTGATAGTTTATTGAGTACGGTGACATCTTGAATAGTTTGTTTTTTGTCTGTTATTATACAATCATATTCGCTCTTAGTTCTTTCGTCTGGAATAGCCCACGTCCACGTCCACGTTTCTATTCTGTTTCTTCTTAAAAAAGGTGTTCATTGCATACAGTTTATGTTGCAGTAGAAAGTTGGTAAGCATTTCGCCTCTTTCGTTTCTTACTCCGATTCCAAAATCT